ACACACACACACACACACACACACACACACACACACACACACACACACACACATCACAGTATTTGTCTCATCAGACATTCCAAAAGAGATTTCTCAACAACAAAATTATATCAATTGTTTGTTTATTGGTTTGTTTGGTTTGTTAATTTTTGTTTTTGTTTTTGTTTTCCTATTTCTTTAACCTGATGAATGTTATACCTTCTACATTTCTCCCTTCTTCCCCCAGGTATTTGTTCTTCATGGATATCCGTCACCCGGACACGTCTCTCCGGATCTGCGTGAACAAATGTCCAGAGAACGACCTGATCAAGCCACTGGACCTCTTTGACTTCTCCAGGCAGACTGGCTCTCTCCTGTGCCGTTATGACGTGTCCCTGGGAGCTTACGAAACTACCAATCGGTCACTGCACGGGCCCTGTCCGGTTCTGACGGTCCACAAGAGGTGGGTATACAAATTGTAATTTTGTTTTACGGCCCAATCGACACTATTAAGATCATGCTGGAGGCGGGTTGCTACGACCCTGTCTGTAAGGACCAATCCGAGCTAAGAGGGATACAAGGCCCCGGTAGACAGACGGAGATACTAAATTTTTTTAAGTCTTCCCAAGCGGGAACTTCTTTCTTAATCCATGTATCTGTCTTTTGGGTTGAAATTTGGTAAGGAAACTAAAAACCGAAAATCTAGATTTCCTAGGTCGAAATAACAGTAATGGGTTGTTCTCAATCGTATTCTTGTCTCGTTCTGTCCTTTGTAAATTTTTCAGACTCTGTTTGGTGTTGATCCACGACTACGTTATGGTAACGTAACGTAATATAAAAGTGAGGAAGAGCTTTTTGTTTCTATCATTTATCTTATTCGATTATTTGGTCAAATGTAAAGCTATGATATAACCAGTAAGTGACACGATGATGGCCCTTTCTCCCCTTAGAATTAATCTACTAATCTGTAGTCCCACCCAGTCTGATCTATTACTGTCTGTGTATTTTTCTCAGCGAGTCTCTACTGAATCGCTGCATACCACGTGACTTGGTGGATATTCCTGGTTGGCTGGAGGGAAATATCGCCAACAACATCATCGCCTACATCAACAAAAGCGATATCTTCCAGAAAGTTCTCCGTGACCTCTACGCCAGTTGGAATATTATTATAGCTCTCTGCTTCGTTGCAGTCGGTAAGTACTGGCAATTATACTAACTGGACTATCTCTATGTATACCCATCTGTCTATCCATAAATATTTTTTCGTGCCTTTTGGAGAGGTAGACCAATAAAGTACTTCAAGAACTTAAGCAGATGGTTGACAGGAAAAGACCAGGATAATGATATAGGATTTTGAGAGCATCTGAACGAAGAAATGAATGGGGAACAAAGTCTGCGGGTGTTTGTTTAAGATCTGACCCCTGAAGAATGGACGAAGGGGTTGTGGCGGAGGTATCAATGTTTTACGCCCTGCTGACACACATGTAGTAGGTTCAAAGACGAAGCCCAATGTAGTCCACGGGTAAGACTCCAGGTTTAGGAGGGAAATTAATATTGCGATAACAGTGTAGAAAACGTCAAACTACTTTCCAAGTCGAACCTTATCCAATCGTGCCTGACTCCTGCAGTACAACGTCCTGGTCAAGGAGGGAGGGAGAGAGGGAGAGGAGGGGAGGGGGCATACATAAAGAGAAAAAGAAGAGAGAGAGAGAGAGAGAGAGAGAGGGGGGGGGAGAGAGAGAGAGAGGGGGGGGAGAGAGAGAGAGAAAGCGGACAGCGTACTGTCGGAAGTTCTCACCACTTCTTGTGTCTTTAACTTTCCTTCTTGACAATTGGGGGGGGGGGGGGGGCAATAACGGATTCAATAGTGCGTTGTCTGATGATTTCGAACTACCCCTTGTGTCGATAACAAAAATGTATATGTGTTTTGGGGGGAAAGGTGGAGGGACTGAACAAAAAAAGGAATGACCATGAAGATGTTTGAAAAGGGTTATCTCAAAAATAATTACGAGAAAAGATAATTATTGAGAAATAGAATTTAAATTGTGAAACATATTATTTTCAAAAGAGTTATAAGAACAATTGTAAGGGTTTTTTTAAAAAAAATTATTATTATTATTCTTTAAACGAGTGGGATAAGGCAAATGACATTAAACGATATTATTTTCCCTTCTGATAAGAACTCCCTCTTTTATGTTAAAGTAGCTGCTTCTGAAAACCGATCTGTTAGCTAACCGAAATAGGTGCCGTAACGTGTGAGATGAAACAATAATTTATTGCGTGATTAAAAGCGATTCTAACCTATTCTTTCAGCAAAAAGCAGATCCATCTGTCCTTTGTTTTTACATGTTTTTCCTCCATCGTGCGCTCAAAACATCTCGGGAAAATTAGCAAATTATCTGGCATATAATTAGGTCAATCCCAAGGGGGTTTTTTTTAACCAATATCCACGCCATTTTACGGAATTCTTTTCCCATTTGTTTCTAAATTTTGCAAGGATGCACTTTGAATCCCGATGAAAATGTGTTTGCGGAGTTCAGTTCAGACTTCTGACAAGCTTATAATAATTTTTGATAATTCTTTAGGATGGCAACATTAAAAGGAGAACCCAGTTCAAATGCGTTTTCACTCCCCAATATTTCAATTCGTATGTTGTTTCGTTTCGTTTGTGGGTGGGTTTTTTTCAAAAGATTTATTATTGTCCACGTAATATGTTTGCTTTGATGCCGAGTGGGGGTTCATCCATATAATCTGGATGGAATAATATTATTTCAGGGTTACCTCAAGTAACTTTTTTCTTTCATTCCTGCGACAGAATGAAACCAGTATTTCTTCCTGTGCATATAATTATTTTTCTTGAGTTCGCTTATCACTGGCTTTAGCAATTCACCTACAAGTATTTCGATGAAGCTTTTTTCTTCCACGAGCTGTTGTCTGAATTATTCTTATTCTAAGGCATACACATTCTTATACACTTTTTCACGTCGCAGCTTTAAAAATTTTTCTTTTAAAATCACCCTCCCCCCGTCATAAAAACAAAAGATCCAGGTCGCTAGTGATGCTTCTGTGCTTGTCAAAACATTTCGGATAGAAATTGTTTCATAGTGCATTTAAAGACTTAGATCCATGTTTTGTAATGTAGAATAACAATTTCATAATGGAGATTACCTTATCCACTAGCGGGGCATACGAAACTGTTCGTCTTTTTAGAGATTACTGTGTTTGCTGGAATCAAAGCTAATTCAAAAATCAATCCTTCTTAAAATTTTGACGAGTAAGGAATTGAGCTTCCGGTGTAAAAGGTACTGAGAAAAAAACTAAACTAGCTAATTCTTTCTCTCTCTCTCTCTCTCTCTCTC